TAAAAAGTTGAGTATTTGATTTAGAGATTGAGAAAGGCAAAAGTTGTGGGCCTTAACTAACACTAGAGCCAAGCCATTAAGTTTGATGAGCATTCATTAAAAACAGTGCAGTCTTGAGATGAAGGAGAGTGATATAAAACAATGAGAAAGGTAATAGAGTGATGTAGTGCTAAGGGAAAGCACATATAAGAATAGTCTGTGGGCTCAAACCTAGTTTCCTGACAAATGAGTGAATTCTTGCAAATGTAAATCCCCTGGCCAAGCATGTGACTATTGGAGTCTTAAGAAATTAAAGGAAGATAGTCATCGACACTAAGATCGCATCTTTTATATTTGGTTTTTTATTATAATATTTTTCTTTACTCTTAGTTATATTGAGTTGTATTGTTTCCACTGTAATGATAGTTCAAGACTCTTTAATTAGGTATCTTGTTTATTATCTTTGGCAGTATTTTCTTCTACATCTTTGTCATTAATTTTATTTTAATATTTATCATAGTTTTATTTTTTATCTTTAAAGTATTTATTCAAAGCACCTTTGAGTTTTTCACTTGAAACTCAGTTAATTATCTTTTTGTACTTCCACTTTCATATTTTCTTCTTATATCTCTATCTTGTTTGTTGATTTCCACATCTCAAGCCTCCTTGGGAAGTGCGTGCGGTTGCACACCTTGTTTGTCCACGCCTAAAGTAGTCTTTTTAAACTACTTGACCATGTTTTTATATAGTAAGCGTTTTAAGAATTTGCAGCTAAATAAAGCTATAAGAAACTTGAGAGAATAAAACAGCAATACTTGAAGAAAATAACCAAAGACTATACAAAGTAAAAAATCTAAATGAAATAAACTAAAAAAAATTGAGTATTAAAAAAAGAAAATTGTTGTCTAAAAATATTATATACCTAAATATTTTACTGTTTTTTTTTTTTTACTGAAAATTGGGCAATATAAAAGAAACAATTCCAGACATGCATCAAATGCGGTAAATGCATTTATTAAAGAAGCCATGTTATTCTTTTATATAACTTATTCCGTCATTACAAAATTTATTAATCAAATAGTATATTTTACAAATATATAACAATTTATTTTCTTATTTTCCTATTATATAAGTAATGAGAAAAGAATGTCAAATATAGCAAAAACATTTTTAAAAGTGAAAAGGTGTTCAAAACGAATATAGTTAAACAAATTTAGCAATTTCTCATAGTTCTAGCATACATAGCAAATTAGTTTCTTAATTATATGGATTGATAAAAATTTTGATTAAATTGTATATCAAAACTTTTAAATAGTTATAAAAGACTTTTCAACAATGACTCTAAAAAAAGAATACTAAAGTTGTATAAAAATTTTATTAAAAAAAAAAAAATTATATTTACTTTTTTCAATTATTACTTTCTAGTTTATTTATTATTTTTTTTATTCTGATTCACTCCCAACAAGGCTACAAGCAACCACTATTAAGTTGAGAAATACTATAAAAAAAGAATAGAGTTATAGAGCAAGGAAACGGTTCACAGAAGAGTTAAAAAGTTGATGGATGTATGAGTCAGGAAAACATAAAGATGGGAGAATATTCCAAAGGGTTGAAGTGTGGGGAAAAAAGCTAGAGGAATAAAAGTTTTTTGAGCATACAGGGACAGATAAAGTAAAAGAATGAGACTGATGAATGATGAGTCAAGCGAGAATGAGTTTTGGTTGATGGAACTAGAGATAAAAGCTCTTTTGATGATGGAAGCTCTTAGAGATGAAAGCGGCTGTAATATTATTTGTAGAAAAGAGAAAGAGATGTAACTATACGACGTTGGGAAAGAGGCTCAAGCTTAGCACCAGGATAGATCAAGATAGACCAGGTCCAAATATGTTTACAATGCGTTTTTGGACTTTGTCTAGAAGAGAAAGAGCATCATTATAAGAACCAGTCTAAATATAGTAGTATAGTATATATTTACTGCAAGGAGATAACTCCTGGAGCACAGCATAAATACAAGCCCTGCTATTCGCAGTGTAAGCTGGTAATTATATTGTACATTGTAGATTGTTTCAAAGATTCGCTACTCTGTTAGTGAAAAAGTTATGACCTATTTTACAATTATTTTTTATTTTTTGGCGTAAACGTTTACGATGACTGTACTTAAATTCTGCTGTCAATGGTTCAACATGCTAGTTAACTCTGTCAATTTTATTTTCAATTTTAAAATGTTGAATGCAATCGAATGCAATATGACAACAGTATTCCATACAGGGACAAATAAAAGATTTGTAAAGGTAGAGAATGGAATCAGGAGAGAGAAAATGGCGAGCATGATAAAGAGAAGCAACTTTAGCAGATGTTAGTTTAGCAATTGATTGTATATATGGTTTCCATGAAAGTAGTTTATGATAATCCAAGAAGGGGTTAAAAAAAAAAAACTCAGTAAGAGGGTTGCCATTCATCAATATAGAAATGTCGACAGTACTGCGATAGTTGTTTGTAGTAAATAACTGAGTTTTGTTGGAGTTAAAATTTACAAGCCACTGTAAGCCCCAATCAGTTACAAAAGTGAGATCAGATTCAAGGTCAGCTGCCTGTTCTAAGCAATTGAAAAGAGATTTTTCTGTCAAGGCAGGAGAATAAAGTTAAATCATCAGCAAAAAGAGCTACTTTATATGTGAGGCTGTCGTGAAGATCATTAATGAAATAAAAACAAGAAACAAAATAAAACCATGGATGGAACCTTGAAGTACCCAAGAGGTTACTGGAAACAAAGAAGAGTGTTGGCCTTTTGGGATGACTATAATAAAGCGGTTAGAAAGAAATGATTTGATAATCTCAAAAACTTTCCCAGATACACCATATGAAACAAGCTTATGGAAAAGACCAAGACGCCAAACTTTGTCAAAAATCTTAGATATGTCAAGAGCAATAGCTCTAAAGTTATTTGACTCAAGATGGGGTGTGAGAAATTTGTTTATTAAAGACCTTGCTTACAGAAAAAAGACTGATTGGACAATAATTGGAGGGGTCACAATGTTCACCAGAGTTTTTGAAAATTGGAACAACAGATGCTATTTTCCAGCAGGTAGGGAAACAAGACTCAAGCACTTATTAAATAGTTTGGAGAAAATTGAAGAGAATTCTGGAGAATATCTTTGTAATACTGTGACAGGAATGTTGTCTGAACAAGAAGCCATAGAAGAATTTAATGGAGATATGACTTTAGCAATGGAAGCTGGAGTAATTTGAATGTCTAACGATGGGTTAACCTGTTTAATTGCAATGGAAGGAAGAGAGTGGCCATAATATTCGAGAGTCGAATTAGAAAAGAAGTTCTTTGCAAATAGTTCAGCCTTATCCTTGGGAGAGGTAATAAGATCCCATGAATGAAAGATGGAATGTTGGACCTTCTTTTGTTAACAATTCTGTTGAAGATTTTCCTAAAGTCTCTAGAGTCTAACTTCTGAGATAAGATACAAGATTTAGTGAACTGAGAATAATGGAGCTTAGCATCTGACAGCAACTAATGATAAATAGCTGTTTGTTCTCATTTAAACTTGTTGTTTAAAGCTGTTTGTTCTTAATTAAATTAAATATTTTGTTACAATTTGTTTTCTTTTTTTGGGATTGTTTTTTTTTCTTTGTAGATAGGTTTAGCGTTTTGCCGCGAATTATTGAAATGCTTTATAAGTTAAAAGATGCGAATTGCTGTGGTCAGTTTGTCTAAAAAAATTACTTTAATTGTGGACAGGCACGCAACCACACGCTTTCCAGAAAGGCTTGTATCTAGTCAACAAATTAAAAAATACCTTGAGTTATAAAATACACTTTGAAAAAAAATGTAATTTCATTTTTTTTTATTAATTATTTTCAAAAGTACAATATAATTTTTTAATAATAAAAAATATAAATACATACGCTGTATTGATTGACTGGCTAAATTGACTCAAAATGACAAATATTATTTTTGAAATAAACCTTGGAACAACAAATTTGTTAGACCATATATATTTTGATTTGTTTCTTTCAATTTTTCGAACAAAAACATCAATAAAACTTTTATTAACATAATGCTGTTGTATTGCTATAATTCTATATACATTTTTTTTAGAAAAATTACTTATTTGTTGAACTTGTGCTTTGAATAGAAAATATTAAATTATGTCTATAATACTCTATGCGTGCATAAAACTCTTGTGTGATCCATGGATTCTTAATTAAAAAAACTTAAAAAACTTAAAAAAAAATACTATGTTAAAAATATTTTTTAACATGGTAGTATTTTAAATTAAACAGGCTCCAAAATTGAATTAAAAGCAATTTATTTGCTCTTTTTATTCTTTTAATAGCATTCTAAAGGTTTCTGTTGTGCCCCACCCGATCTGACCTTATCACTTGCGTCACTTCTTATCTGGCCCTGACTGAGAAACTGAATTATTAAATAAGGAGTTAGTAAAAGTGTTACCCTATGAAACAAAATGTTTAACTTATCATTTTACAATTAAAAAAAAGATTATAAAATATTTTAAATTTGATTATTTTTTTGTTATCTTTCGATTTGATCATCTTTAGAGACCAAGAACATTTTTTTTAATAATAACCCAAGACTTCTTTTATTTGAAAAAAAAATTAGAATCCATGAAACTTGGGCAATTTTGAGAGTTAGTGAAAGCACAACACACGATGTTGAGACAGATAATTTGACTCACCATTTAAAATCCAAAAATGGCCGTCACAAATTTTAAATTAGGTTGTTTTTTCTATATTTTTGAATTCAGAACCTTTAAAAATGGTCAGGTACAAGTTTTTAGCCATATTCTTCCACTAGAACCTTAATTGTTCATTAAAAAGTATCACTTCAATGTCCATAATAGCGACATAATTATTGTCCCATTTTTACATGGAATTACTCTATAGTGTTTAAATTTTGTGTTTTGATATTATGACGTTGGTATTTTGCAAAACCAATCCATAAGTATGTTTACATATTTTTAAGTAATTTTGAAATAACTTTTCTGCAGTGCAAAGAATAAGTCCTGAATCAAGTTCAAAAGTACAGCTTCAAATTGTACTTCATACAGAATCTTCATACAATTTTCAATTTGTGAATCCAAAAGGCAGAGCAGCACAATTAAAGAATCGAAATGAAATAAAAGATCTTTTAGCAGAGCTAATTCCTGCTCATCGAGAAAAAGCAAATAAAGATCTTGAAGAGAAAAATAAGTATGATACTAAAATAATTTGAAATAATATAGTTGTTTCAACAAAAAGAATTTGATATTTCATGAATATATATATATATATATATATATATATATATATATATATATATATATATATATATATATATATATATATATATATATATATATATATATACATATATATATATATATATATATATATATATATATATATATATATATATATATATTAGCATTAGACACACATGGATAATGTCAAACAAAAAAAGTTGTGGCAGTTTCAGTACATAGATTGACTATCTTATAGCCTGCTGTTCCAAAGGAGTGCTGCTATATCGACTAAGAGTTTGGCATGGGGCAGCAATCTTTTCATTCAATATGTTTGGTTTTTTCTGCATTTTCTCAAAAATTAAAGCGCGTGTTTTTACATTAAGAGTGCAAAAATGATATTATGTCTTTAGCTATGAATATATATATATATATATATATATATATGAATATATATATATATATGACTATATATATATATATATATATATATATATATATATATATATATATATATATATATATATATATATATATATATATACATGTATATATACATGTATGTATATATACATTTATATATATATATATACATGTATATATATATATATGTATATATACATATACAGTCAGCGAAATTCAGATTGGCATTCGGCAATGCCGATGCAAAATCTGACCTATCTTTGCTTTAGGATGGCATACAACTGCCGACCTGAATATCCTAAAGTGTCGGTATGCAAATTGAAATATGTGTAAAAAATGTATAATATTCTTTAAATATTATTTTATAATTTTTTTATTGTAGTTACTTGCTTTTCAAGTTTGATATGTTTTATTAAAAAAAAAATTCATTAATTTTTTTTCAATTCATTTTTTCTTTTTTCTCAAGTTTATTCAAGTAAAGCAAGGTTAAAAAATATTACTTTTTAAATGCCTGTTGTTCTCAGGCTTTTTTAAGCCTGAGAACAACAGGCATTTAAAAAGTAATATTTTTTTTCATAAGCGCAATTATTATGTTATTAAGTTACATAATATAATTTTAATTTGTTTTATAAGTTAAAAATTTTAATTAGTTAAAAACCATTTAACTAATAAAATATTTAACATGTTTACAGTTTTTAAATATTATTTAAGATCAGAAAGTATATTAGGAAAGTTTAGCCTTGGTATAGTTATGTTAAACACATGCGGAGAAGAAACATTAGCAACAAAATTTTTTTAATTTGATAGAAGTTAAGGCTTCCATTAAATCGCAACAGACGCATTAGTAATACAGTAAGCAAGCTCAAAACAAGTCATAATGCCTAACAGAACTGTCATTGAAAAATGGGGGTTTAAATCCTGCGGATTTCAAACTGATGATTCAGGTGAAGTAATTTTATTATAAAAACTGAATAGTCTCGGCAAGTGTAAAACTTGCCGAGAGTATTCAGAGCTTTATAAAAATTGTTATAATAAAAATAAAGGCTGTGCTAAATTAGCAACAGTAACATTTGTACGGGGGAACAGTTATAAAAAAAAAATAACTTGATGACGATTGGACAGAAAAATCTGATGAGAAAATTATGAAAATACGTCAATACGACAATCACCATTGTGCAGAAACAATGTTTTTATATAAGAAAAAAAAAACTATTTTTAGTATTTTTAACTTTTTTTTTCCTCCATCAATTTACATATAGTTACAAGTTCATACTATACTATAATTAAATATTAAAAAACACCACCCCTACTACTTTAGAATTTAATGCTTATTTCTCGTAGAGGTTAAACAACCAGATGTAAGTTGTCTACTTATTTTGTTAAACCATTTGCCGTTTTAAATAAAATCTTCGCCTACAGCACATAAACTAAATTTGTATTTCTTAACAACATTCTTTCTATGAGCTATATAAAAAACCAATTAAAATGTAATAAATAAACTATGACCTTTTTTTAAAAAAAAACAACAACTTAACGAAAACAACTTAAAGAAACTAAAAAATCACTAATTCATAAATTTGATATATACTTAATTGCTACATTCTTCAAAATATTATTGTCTGAAGCTATCCTATTATAAAGCAATCCTTTTATAATTAATTAATCATTTACTGTAAATGATTAATTACTGTAACAGAAAACAAAAAAAAATACAAGTTGAACACAAAGTTTATGTGATCTGATATTTGATAATCACTGGTATCAAAGTGAGATTTTTTGTAATTTTTTTTCTATGTATGCATATGGAAACCCATTTCAATCTTTTGTTCAGTTGTGATCCATTATCAAATGTCATAAGAATTGAAAAATAATATGTTGTCTTTAAATATATTTTCTATGAAAAAAATTTTTCAAGACAAAATATTATTTTGTCTTGAAAAATGTTTTTCATAGAGAATATTTTTTAAGACAAAAAACACTTTTTTGTGGATGAGTTTTATGATTTGCATCTTTTAATTATGTTCCACTTGATAAATATATATATACACACACGTGTGTGTATATATATGTTTATTTATGTATATATATATATATAATATATATATATATATATATATATATATATATATATATATATATATATATATATATATATATATATATATATATATATATGTATATATACACACACACACAGGGGCTATTATAGATTGTTTTCAACAGCGTCAACCATATTTGGGTGCCGATTAAACGCCGCCCCTATCAAAATTTGAGGATCTTTTTTTTTTTAAAGTTTTTTATGGCAAATATTGTTATTTTTGCAAAAAAACCGCTGATTTTCTGCTAAAGTTCGCTAGAACAAGTGGTACCGCAACCTAAATTTTTTTCCTAGAATAGACCCTGATATATATAAATACACACAGTGGTTGACCATCACATTAGGACCAGCTGTAATTTTTTGTAAATATCGTGTAAAAATGAATTTTTAGGCAAAAAGAAAAATAATGGTGCAATTTAAAGCTTGTCCTTTTATTTATAAAGTTATACTTGATAAAAAATAAACAAATAAAGTTAAATATTTAACAAATAAAGTTAAATATTTTAAATATTTATTGGTTATTACAATAAATTATATAAAATATATAAAAAGTTATTAATATTTTGTAAAATTGCCTTTATTTGCAATAACTGCTTCAATGCGTTGTGGCATGTTCCCATAAGGTGATGCTTGTTAGTAAGAATTTTTTCTAATCTCTCGCTTTACTATGTGTTATATGGGATTAAGATTAGGTGAGTTGCCTAGCCATGGCAATACATTAACTTTTTTCTGTTCTAAATAAGCAATAACACCTTTTGCTGTGGCAAGTTGTACCATCTAGCATAATACAAGTTTTTCACTTTTTTTGAATTTTTTTCATATTTTTAGACCAATCTGCCATTTGGAGGCGCAACTGATTCTCCAGAACTTCATTATTCTGGTCCTGCCTCATTGTCCCAACCACTTTGTAGAGGCGCCCTGCTCCTTGCCCACAAATGACAGACCAGATCATTACTGAAGCTGGATGCTTCACTTTTCCTCAATTCAGTCAGAATGAACCTTTTCGTATAATTAAAGATAATTTATGAATATGAATGAATAAAAATACTTTTTCCTAATCTTCAACAGACCAATAGTTTTGAATCCACTCCAGTCTTTTTTTTTTCATGAGTGAAGTTAGTTTTGGTTTCTTGGCTGGACGATGTCACATCATTCCCTCTTCTTTCAACCTTCTGTGAATGGTCCGGTCTAATACAACATACTAGCTTTATGGATAAAATTAGTCAATATGTGTTGTGGCTTCTTTCTGTTTTCCAGGCAAATATTTCAGATTATATGTTACGCTCTTGGTGTTGTTTTGCGTTTGGAAGGTGGTCTTCTTGGACTAAACTCTTCCCCTGTATCAAGTTTTTTTCAATCAAACTAGCAACTAAAAATAACCTTAAATTGTCCAGGCGATTGCTGACAGCAAGGATTGCCTATTGATAAAACTTTTATTAAATATTACTAAGAATAGAAGTAACTTGACATGTGTGCATATATATATATATATATATATATATATATATATATATATATATATATATATATATATATATATATATATATACACACACACACACATATATATATATATATATATATATATGTATATATATATATAAATATATATATATATATATATATATATATATATATATATATATATATATATATATATATATATATATACATACTTATGTGTGTGTGTGTGTATATATATATATATATATATATATATATATATATATATATATATATATATATATATATATATATATATATATATATATATATATATATATATATATATATATATATATATATATATATATATAAGGTTTATGCAGAGAAAAGGTGTCTTTTTTGTTTATTTATTAGCGTGAATTATAATTTTTTAAAGAAAGGTATCAAATTGAATAAAAAAACATTTATTAGGTTTCTGAGTTGTTGATGACCTCATTTTAGGTTCATAGATTCTCAAAAACCAAAATCCAAATTTTTAAAAGCTCAGGATCAACCTTCTACACACCACAATTGTGTATAAAATATTGATCCTGAAAATATGAGGCACTTAATGCTCCAGAAACTTCTTCTTGAAAATGACATAGTTATCCAAAAACATTCTAATAAAATTTTCTGTTGTTGATTGTGTAAGAATAAATTGTTTTGACTGCAAGCTAGAATGATCATGATACTGGAATATAATCATCTAATCAGAGTTTTATAATAAAATCCATAAAAATTAATGCATATTAAATATCAAAGATTTTCAATAATTTATCAAGATGTTATTGCTGAATTGTCTTTGTTTCTAGTGCATTCAATGTATCAATTCCTAATGAGGTACAGAATAATATTTTTGAGAATAATGCTACTTATTATGGTCTAGAATAATACAAACTATCCATGACCCAGAAACTACATTATCCACAAGGCTAAATGGTCCAAGTTCTTTCTTTTTATAACCACAGGGCTGTCTCCTTGGTAAAAATGAGTAAGGAGTAATCAGAGTTGGCTAGGGCAAAGATAACAACTGTAGGATCCAAATGTTAACTGTAGTTTTAATATCTGTGAAAGCCTAATGCTTGTTTATTTCTTTCCAGACAAGTAATGTATTTGTTCTGCAAGTGTAAAAGTGTTTAAAGATTTAAATTATTAATAACATAACAATCAACTCTTTAAATAATTGTTTACTTCTAAAACAATTAAAATATATAAATAAATAAAATATTAATAGTAATATTATAATTTTTTTTAGCTTACAAATTTAAAAGTGTATAAGTACCTAATAATAAATTTGACAATTTTCATTAACTAGTTTTTCCTTCAATAAATTTCCATCATAGAAATTGACACCTAAAGTTGGAGATAAAACAGCTTTTAATATCAATATCATATTACTTTTCTTTCAGACTATTGAAGAATTTATTGTCAGGTCTAAATCTAATCAAAAGTTGAATCCATCATGCACCATCAGATTTACTTTTAAAACATGGTCATTTTGATATCATGCTCATTCCAGCTTAAGGTTGTATCAAAGCAAATAGTTCTTAGATGATCAACAATAGAAAACTCTATTAAAAGTCCCTAAATTACCATGATTTGATTATTAGTACCATGATTTGAAGAAGTTGATTAGTTTTCTTTACTTTTAGAACAATGTAAGCGTGAGCTCTTTTTATTATCTTGTTGTTCTGAAAATATTTTTTTTTAATATATATAGCGTAGCGCAAAGCTTATCTGAACAAAAAGCTTTTTTTTTTTTTTTCTTTTTTAACTTTTGTAATAACTTTTTTTTTTACATTGTATGTATCAAGTAAATGTTTCAAGCATTTTAAAATAAAAACATTGTATTTGCAGAGCCTAATACAAAAGTATGCCTTGTTCGAAAGCAGGAGCTAATCCCAACAAAAGTCAGTGTGTGCAAAAAATGCTTGTTAATATCACTTCTATTTGAATTGCATGATATTTTTTTAGGTAACATGTATTTCAGAGTTATTCCTAATATCAATGGACTAATAATGAATGTATTTAAAAAAATATGCAAGTAAAAAAATTATACATAAAATGATCTTTTTTTTTTTTTTTTGTTAATATACTTTAAATTTTCTTCTTCATCTTCGCCATCACTAGCATTTTTTTGGCCAGCTTTTGATTGGTTTAAAAAAACTGTCTTAAGGTTGTAAAGCGTGACTGCTGTTTGGAAAAAGGCAAATGAGTACAATCTAAATTGCAGAAAGTTGAGCTTAAATAAAATTTAGCAAAATGTTGTTACTTTTAAGACAAAGCTGCTTACATTGTTGGATTTTGCTTCTGATGCAAGAATATATGTAAGATGACTGACATGACCATTCATAAATAGTGCTGTGTACAATTCTTTTCCATATTGACTAATTTTGTAAGGAATAAAGAAAACACAAATAAAATTAAATTATCTACACCATTAAAAAAAAAATTATTAACTAACAATTATGCTGAAAAGATCTTACTAACAGACTTACTTTGATAAACCAATATTCAAAGACATGCTTCCTATACACCAAGAGTTGTAAAGATTTTTGTCTTTATAAACCAAACAAAATAAGGCTCAAGAAAACCAGTAGCATTTCCACATTTTAATACCGAGAACATAGTTTTGCCATAGTTTTGTTTTTTGAACATAATTAATATTTAAGTAGAGGAGTGAGATGTACCGTGTCTAAAAAATATTGTATATTTACTACACTGGTAGAAAATCTGGTCTCATCCAGATTATAACATTGATCTGGAGATGTTAATTATTCTCATCATATAAATTGAAATTGGTAAAACTTCTGGAGATCTTTCTTTCTGGAGTTATTCAAGAAACCTATCTTTTTTAAAAAAATTGTAATAAGTCGTCATCTGATCAGTAAAACAAAGAAACCAAGTAAAGCAATGTTTATCTGTAAAAACTTAATTTAAGAAAATTGTTTAGTTGACTTGTCTTCTCAACAAAACAAACAAAACCAAAAGGGTCACAATCTTTGTGTTATAGCATGAATGAAGTTTGATTATTTTAATTAATTATTAAAATTATTTTTAATTATTTAAATTAAATTAATTGTTTAAAACTTATTAAATAAATGTAAAAGTAGGGATACCGACCAATTCCATCAATGTTTGGAATAGCCCCGCAAATATTTAGATTTTCTATTGTATTGTCTGCGTACAATGCATATCATAAAAAAAAAAACATATGCAGACATGTTCAGGTTTTATTTTAAATGAGAATCTTAGTATTTTAAAATTTTTTTACTTTTTTAAAATGTTTTTTTTTTTTTCAGTAAGAATGCTCTGAATTAAGTATGAACATAAATTTAAGTGATTACTCAGATGATTATCTCCTCTATATCGAAGCTATATCGAATTCATTTTATATTCATCAAATTCATTAACGCCACTCGTCAGGGGCGTGTCCTTGCAACAGATCTCACCGCCTGCAAATTTAAGTGATTACTCAGATGATTATCTCCTCTATATCGAAGCTATATCGAATTCATTTTATGGGTTAATATATCAATACCTATTGCATTTCTCATAGTTTCTCATAACTTCTTAGTCGATGCAAACATTTCAATAAAATGAGTTTTAACATGTACTTCTATAATATAACTCATATTTTATGGACAACAATAAATTTTATTGATCATAATTTAACTCATCTGACTCAGGTTATATATTTCAATAGTGAACAAAAAATAAAATTATTATTTTAGGTTGCTCAAAGAAAATAGTGACTTGTACCAGTTGTATAAAGACTTAGTTGTAACAGGGATTATAACTGCTGAAGAATTTTGGGAAAATCAGAAATCAGTCAACACAATGGTGATTTTTTTAATAGTAATTGTGTTACCAGATAAAAAAATGTAGTATGTTGTGGGTATACTGGCAAAAAAGTTGAAAATTGGCAGTTTTGTGTTATTGTAAAGTATAAAACGCTTTACAAACTCTGGTTATAAAAATATATTTAATGTTAACTTATTAAACAGGTATTTTATTCAGGCTAAAAGCTTTTGAATCAAAAAATATAAAAGCTATAAATATTTTCTTAAATAAGCATTTAACATCAAGGTATATTTTACAAGATTAAAAAAGTTTAAAATGGGACAAAAACTTAAACGATTCGTTTCTCTAAACAGGGATTTTTGAGTTGGTGTTTTTTACCAGTATACTCAGGATATGGTCCATAGGAATTCTATTATTTCTATAGAAGCTTTTAAAAATTTCATAGAAATTCTTAAGACAATTATATATATATATATATATATATATATATATATATATATATATATATATATATATATATATATATATATATACACATACATAAATATATATATATATATATATATATATATATATATATATGTATATATATATATATATGTATATATGTATATATATACATAGATACATATATATATATATATATATATATATATATATATATATATATATATATATATATATATATATATATATATATATATATATATATATATATATATGTATATATATATATATATATATATATATATATATATATATATATATATATATATATATATATATATATATATATATATATATATATATATATATATAATTATCAGGGGCTATTCTTGGAAAAAAATTTGGTTGGCGGTACCCACCCTTCCAAACCCCTCCCCTGTCCCCTAGAAATTCAGCTGAAATATTGCCAAATATAGGCATTTTTCACGAAAAAAGCAATATTTGCTCTTAAAAACCTAAAAAAATAAAAATTAGGTCCTCAATTTTTAATTTGGGCAGTGCCCAATTACAGTCAATGCTGTCAAAAATGGTCTAGAATAGCCCCTGATTATATATATATATATTGTATATATATATATATTGTATATATATATATATATATATATATATATATATATATATATATATATATTATATATATATTTATTATGTTACTTACTGATTATATATATATTGTATATATATATATATATATTATTTATTTATTATGTTATTATTATTTTTTAATTATATATATATATATATATATATATATATATATATATATATATATATATATATATATATATATATATATATATATATATATATATATAAAATAATAAAAACGTAATGCAAATTAGCACCTAAATGAAAAAACAAACACTTTAATCAAGTTAAAGGAAATACTTCAATTAAGTCAACATGAACGAAGTTTGTATAGCCAATGCAATTAAGTCTGCATGAACACATCTATTAAGTCAGTATAAACACCTAAAAGGGGTTAATATAAATACATTAAATCAGCATAAGCGTTTCGATAAAAATATTAATCATATGTTTATTTTTGGTTTCAGGCATGTTCTTCTGCTTCCTCTGAAAAACAAAAGGTTGGCATAGCATCAGGTTTACTGGTAAGTAAAAGCAATAATAAATTAAACTATTTTACAGATAAATACATAAACTAACGTTTAAGAGACCCAGCAAAAAATATTTAATTGAATTGTCACTTCCATCACTTATCAATGAATGATAATAATTTGAATATGTAGGAGACACAAATTGCATAAGCCTTAAAGGTCCCTAAACTTTGCTTCCTTAATTTGATGTCCATTTGGATGCTTAAGAATGTTTTTGACAGTCTACAAACTATGTAAATTGTTCACAATGCTTCTATAAACTAACTTTCACAGGTTTCTGAGTTCCATCCTGTGAATGTTTGATATAAACAAATTGCTCACCACTTATTAATCTGAATATAATTGTTTTTCTAATGTCTGCAGAATGTTTTTTAATAGTTACATTATGTTTGACCATACTGTTCATTATAGGAGATAAAGATATAAAGTCTTCTTACTTCATTTCAACAATAATGAGCAAATTCTATGCATTGAAGTGAACACAGCCCTTCGTTTCAGCTTATAATTATTACCAAAATCTTTGTCACATTGCAGGAACATGTGACCAGGGAGCAGAAATTTGTGCTTTAAAATTTTGTTTATCTAAAAGTATTATTAAAATATTAATTAATGAAAATATTAATTATATAATATTGTTTAAACAACCACAGACCTAGAATAAATTTTTTTTTTGTATAATGCATGAATCTGAATAAATTATGAGCCTTTAATAATGTTTATATCCAAAGCCTTTAAAACACAGCTTGCTACTTCATCAGGCCCTTTAGATACAACATTCTTAGGCCAGACATAAAATTGTCTTATAAAAAACTCTTTTAGGGCATTGGCAATCCTTGTTGTAAGTCCATAGACAAAACAAGTATGTCGCTACCATTTTTTTTTTTTACTTTTTGAGAGCACTATATGCAGATTCAATTTTCTCAAGGAGGTGTTTGATGTTTGCAGATTTGGTGTTATTATCTGCTTTAGCAGAATCACAATTACAACATGTATCAATCTTAATAAATACAGTATAAGAAATATTAATCCACTATTATATTCATTGTTAAAAATATTTTTATATGTAAAATATTTTTGTAAATATTTAAAAAATTTTTATATGTAAAATCACTTTGCAGGTGACATGTGCCTTTTTCTACTAAGCCCCTAATATGTGCATTATACCTTTCCTACCCATATTATTTCCTGATCATTGAATCATTACTATATAAATAATTTATTGACACATGCAAAACTACTGCTATTACTGCTTTTAATAGAGTCTTTGATTTACTAAAATTAGCTTTGTAGTTGAGTTACATAAGTCTAAAATCCATAGGTCTAGTTGAGTTACATAAGTCTAAAATCCATAGGTCTAATTAATAAACTTTTGTTCTAGTTTTCAAATTTTTTGTTGAGAAAGTTTATAATGAATTTAATTTAATAATGCCATGTTTGCTTATATATTTTAGAAATTTTAAATATGTGTTTAAAAAATACATGTAACTTCAAAACTTAGTTAAATTACTGAAAAACTAAAAATTCTTAAATTGCTGTTACATAAATGATCCATTTAAATTTAGTCTTTTTTAAAAATATTTTAAGAAATTTTCATTATAAAGTTTTTATTTAAATATAAATGATAGTGTGACTATGATAGCATGTAACTAAGATAGCATGTGACTATGATAGCATGTAGCTGCAATAGCATGTGACTATAATAGCATGTAATTACGATGGAATGTGACTATGATTAAATTATTTTATTTTAAATAGATTAACAAATTAATTAAAAAAAACAATTTTAAAAACTTATATGCACAACTTCACATCCTAAATTTTTTACTTGTTTTGTCTTTTATTTATTTAGTTGTTAATTTATTTCTTATTCTATTGTTAATTTATAATATTTTATGATATATTTCAACATAAAATTTGTATAAAATTTGTTTTACTTTTTTAACTTGAATATAAACTGACTATATTACAATGGAACCATTTATATTTTTATATATATTTTCAGTTTAGTATCAAGACAGTATTTTGGTCATTCCATGTCAAATGGACCAAATTTTTATGTTTTTAAAAACTATTTTTTTCTTTGCTGACACTTATTTTGCTGACATGGCACACATGAAATAAACTTCTCCCAAAATTTCACATCAATATCTAATGCAGTTCTTGAGAAAAGACATCATTTTTGCCAGCTAATAACTTTTGAACAAGTTGTTGTGAAGTGTTCATCCAAGATTCGTCTATACACTTCAAACTTCGACAAGTTCAAAAGAAAAAACTCTGATCTAAAATTTAGTTCTGCGCTTGTGTGATTTGCGCCCAAATCACGCAACTGCGGAACTGTGAGTTTTGAACATAACATATATATATATATATATATATATATATATATATATATATATATATATATATATATATATATATATATATATATATATATATATATATATATATATATATATATATTTGTAGGCAGAACTAAAACCTGATATGCATGGTTGCAATGAGTTAAGGTTCAATTTGACTGCAGACAGCATTGATGCCATATTCAAAATGTATCCAGCAGGTATTTTTTCAATATATATATATATATATATATATATTCTTCTTCTTTAAGAAGTAAAAAGTAATTTTTTTTTTTTTGTTTTAGTTAAAAAGAAGTATGTTGCCTCTGTACCTGACGAAGTGAGTAAAATAACTATTCATAAAAACGTTGTGTTGTGTGTCATTTTTCTTGAATTATATTTTTTCATCATAGATGAGTGAAAAAGAGTTTTGGACAGAATTTTTTCAATCTCAGCACTTTCATCGAGACCGAATACCCAAAAATAACCAATCAAATAAAGACACTTTTGGAGAATTAGCAAAGAAAGATGAACAAGGTATAATTGAACTATCCATTTTTTGTGTTTAGATTTTTTGATATATTTAGTTTCATTTCTATTTCTATTTTTTTTATATTCTGTCTTTTAGAATCTTTTAAGAAGTTTGTTACAGACTTTTATGACCCTTTAATTGATTTCTCTTCTACATGTCCAATTACAGAGGAGGTTTCTCACAATTTTGATTATCGTTTTTATGTTTTATGGTAACACCTTTGTGTCTAATTTTATCTGCCAACCTCTAACAGTTTAAGTTTATGGTTCACAATTTATTGCTAATCTTATAGAATATGCACTCATATTCTAAAAAGATGTGTTTTAAATTTTCAGAAAAATAAAAAAATAAAAAAGGAAGAATAATGAGAGAAAAGCTGCTGCCCCACTCCAAACCCTCAGTCGATGCAGCAGCACTTCTATCGGCAGCAGGCTATAAGATAGTTGATATATGTATTGAAGGCCCCGCACCTACCTCTTTTAGTATGACATTATCAGTGTCTAATGCTGCATTTATATATATTTGTATGTGTGTGTGTAGGTGTATGTGTGTGTGTAGGTGTATGTGTGTGTGTAGGGGTATGTGTGTGTGTGTGTATATATATATATATATATATATATATATATATATATATATATATATATATATATATATATATATATATATATATATATATATATATATATATATATATATATATATATATATATATATATAAATATATATGTGTGTGTGTTTGTGTAATCTAGGGGTATGGGACTAGCGAAGTTAAAAGACATTCATCACACGATACTCTAATTAAGCATTTCAATCATCAAAGTTTTATGATACTTCAAGAAGGTAACAATAGGTAGAATTGAATTTTCAGTAATTTTGTTAATAATTGTATAGTACTTGATTACCTAATTGTATAATACTTGTTTACTTTCTTAATAATTGCTTAATAAACTACCTACTAATTATACTTCATAAAAATAAGTGTGTTATTAAAAAAAAAATATCATTTAAAAATATTTTTTGCAAGGGTGTTAACAGAAAAAAATGCTGACACTGATAGAAAAAGAGTAAGTAATATTTTTAATAAATTTTCACGATCTAAACAGCTTTAGTTTTTATATTTATCATTGTTTTAAGAAATGGATTGCCTAATCAGCTGCATTGATTGCTTTATACTGGTAGTACTTGTACTAATCAGCAGCATTAATTGCTCTGCAGTTGATAGTATTTATACATTTATATACTTTTGGTATCAGTACTTATAGCATAATGCAAAAAAGTGAAAAACATAAATGGTAAACCCATGTAAGTAAGTAAGTTGATTATTAATAAGATTTTAAAAACTTGGAGAACTTTGCTTTCACATTTTTCTTTAATTTTTTCATATTATTTCTGTGTAGTGTTTTTAAATTAATATAGAAACGAATTCGTGAAGCTGTTGAACTGGATGAGTTAGAGAATCACTCCCAAGAGTTTGTTTCAACATTAAAAATTGTAGATACAGATAAATTTTTTCACGGTCAAGAAGCAGTTTATGAGGTATATTTTAGTAAAACTTTGTTTTATTTTTTTGCTTTATTTTCTCAAAAACTATTAAAGTAACATTTTTAGAATGGAAACAAACCTTGCTCTAAGATGTTTATACAAAGTATATTGACATGGAAACCTGATCTTGGAAATGTAATGTTACATTTATTATTATTATTATTTTAAAATCCTTTGTCAAATGCTGGGTGATTACTAAAACCTTTTTGTTTTTATTATTTTACTTTTAATATTTTTTGTTTCATCTAAAAACATTTAATTCTAATATTTTTGTTTTATGTTTAATTAGGTACTTTCTGCAAAACCTGCTCTATCTGCTATGACTAATGTTTCTCCGGGTGGAAAGTATATGCTGATATCTGCTCAAAACAGTACTTTTGGTAATTTTTTAGTATACTTGTACATGCGTGTTTTGGGTACATTTTTTTCCTGTTAAAAGGTTGGCTAACTGAGTTATTAGCAAGGCTCTTAAATTTTATATTATTTGATGCATTTATGATTTTTTATTACAGTAATTAAAGTATTTAAGTTAATAAAAACTTGATTCAATTTGAATGTACATTTCCTAATATAAGGTTCTTTTTGTAGTTGCCATTTGCTTAACTTTTGTAAATATCATTTTCACATATATATTTAATATTATTTTGTTTTTTTAGGACTTATCAGTTTAGTTATTATTTCTAAATATTTAGTATATATTATAGCTGAGATATTTCTATCAAACATAATTATTCCACAGAAAAATAAGTAGTCCTTCGAACTTTTTAACAAACAGAATTACTCCATAGAAAAAGAAGTGATATCTATCAGACCATTATAAGCTACCTGTTGAAGCATCATAAACTGTAGTGCATCATTACTTTATCAGCTTTATATCTTAATAGTAAAAAAAAAATCTTAATCCAAGATTCATATTTGTCTTCATCCAAGATTCGTCTATACACTTTAAATACAGAATGTTTAAAAAATAAAAAAGCAGTAGTTATGACATTTAAATAAAGAGATAATATGATTATTTCTAAGTAGATAAGGTAGAAAAGGTAGGCGATAAGAAAATAATAAAAAAAATTTTTTTTTTTTCTTTTTTTTGATTACCTCGATTTATTTTCTATGGAAAATGTTATTACATCTTTATTGATAGGCGAAATATAATTTTCAGTTGATAATATCTCCTTGCAATTATACCAAGAGACGCGTAAACATTATCTTTCCTTAGCTGAGTTGTTAAGGCATTTCTGGTCTTGTTTTCCCATAAAAACGGCACAGTTAGAGGAAAAGGTGAGTTTTAATTATTACCTTTGAATAATTAATTGTCTTAAAATATTACCTTTAAAGAATTAAATTAATCTTTCGAATTTTTAATGTGTAAAGTTTACATTCCATTTTTATTTCTTGTAGTTTCTTTACAATAAAGTAAATTTTAATTTTAATAAAATGTTTTAAGGTTCAACGAATGGCTTCTAGTTTGGAGAAATTCAGACAGACAAAATTATTAAACTTTTCAACTACACTGTCACCGCAAAATACACAAGTAAGCATAAATTAGTATCAATTAAATAGCTAATAAAATTGTAACCAATCATTATGATGTTAACCATATCAATCTCTTATTTCTAATTTATGTATTGATATGTTAAATAAATACTATTTATATTTTAAAATAAGTAATGTTAGAAATTAAATAATGTATAATAAGGCAATAACATAATGTTAATGTATACAATAAAGATAATAACAAGTGTTTATCATTTTTAACACTGGTCAATCGATTTATTGATTAATTTATTTTTTGCTAGTTGTGAATCCTGACCAGAAGATAAATTTTTAATAATAATGAAAATTTTGTGTTGTGTTCAACCTAAAATTTAGGTTTTACATTTTCAGCTAGAACAATTGGAGCTTTAAGTTTACATATTTGTTTCTTACAGCTATACGAAATGAAATTGTGTCTTTATTTACAACTAAACGATTTGTTACAAATTTTAGAGCCGAATCATAATCGAAAATAAAAATTAGGTTGCCAAGTGCAACAAAATCTGGATTATTACCATTTAAATTTTATTTTTTCCTCTTTAAAATAAAAAATGTCTGTATAACATTCTTCAAGCATCATCAGAAGCAGTTTTGTTTTTCGAAATATTTAGGTTGCTTTTTCGAAGTATTTAGGTTGCTTCTCCAAGGTACTTAGTTCTATTATGTTTTAATTTTCCTGCTACGGTGATGTCTTCATCAATAATTGTTTCGTATAAACTATATAGTTTGATAAATAACTGTTTTTCCTTATAAATTTAGCAAAGATTCAATTATTCTCGAAACGCTCTAAAGTAGGTTAGCTAAGTGAATAAAGTCGAACTTTCATATTAATGTAATGTTATGCTTTGAATATTAAAGAGAATGTTTTTTTATGATGTTGAAAAACATTTCTCGGATTCAAATATTTTATAAAATAATAAATTATTAAGCCCTGATAAAATTGTAAGCCTATAAAATAGTGAGCTTAGATTTACTTATTGAAGAATTAGATTTTTTTTTCTTCTATTCAGTTTCTTTTGAAATTAAATAGGACAAAAAATGAAAGGAACAAAAGCTGACACCAACTTTCTTTGATTTGTAATGCCTTTTTTTTTCTTTTGTCTTATATTTCTTTACATTTTACTAAATAATTTAATATATAGTTCTTTATAGTTATACTGCGGATTTTTTAAAGGCCTCTTAGTAACTTTTTATTTTAAAGGTCTTTTAGTAACTTTTATACTTTTTTTACTTTTAGTTACTTTTTATTGATTTGTATAAACAAAAAGTGTTAACATGTATTTTTTGTAAATTAAAAAATAGTTAGAAAGGACATTTTAACTATAACAAAATATTGTTTGTTTTTTCTTTTTTGGTTTTTACTTTAATGCTGTTACACTTACAACTTACATTTGCGATTATTTTATTGACTAAAAAGTTGTTTCCATTATTGAACTATCCTTTTGATTAGATAAGCTGATTGACTAGAGAGATAGCAAATTAATGATATATTAAGAATAACTTATTTTTTATGTATCAATGTAAAAGTTTTAATATTTTTAAATTAGCAAAATAAGCAGTTTAAGTGCGTAAAAATGATTCAGCGTGTTAAAATAGAAAATAAAAACTAAAGATTATATATATATATTTTTAGCTAATTGATCATATGAATGACATGATATCAACTGCTTTGAAAAAGTTCATTACTTGGGAAGAAAAACGCACTTCGACAAAAATTAGCAGAACGTAGAAGTTGGTACAAAATATTACACTAATTATTACGTCATAGCATCTCAGAACACTATGTCTATGTGCATATATATATATATATATATATATATATATATATATATATATATATATATATATATATATATATATATATATATCTGTGTGTATAAATTATCTTAAAATTAATACCTTTTGAAATAAATGTAAAAACAAATATTTCAAAACGTACTAATGAAAAATATAATGAAACGGTAATATTTCACTATCATGAAGTATGTTTGCAAGTGTTTGAGTGTATTATCCACAGAGAGAAGTTTTTTTTTTTTTTAAAAAAAACAATAAAAATATTAGATAAATTATGTCCTCGTAAACATCAGTGTATATAATGTAATCACTTTTCAAACCAAGCAAAAAAGAGATTTTATATATTATTAAATTTAATTTTTTTCAAAAATATAAGTTTATAAATATAGCGTTATGAACAAAACATTTTCTAAACAACACAAAAACATCGTTTTCTTGGTTTTGCAAAATGTGGATATTCACTAATTTTGATTATGGCAGCAGAATTAACATTAGGCAAAGCAATTTTTAGTCCAAAGATGATATGCGATGTTATACAAAACTAATTAAACTTTATATTTGACAAAAGAGTTCTTAAATAAAAATTAAAATATTATTATAAAATAAAATCGAATAAGATAACAAAATTATCAATTAAAAAAACTGCAATATATAAAAATTAACGCATTAAAAATAAACACCTGAGCTAGCATTTAGAATAACTCCAACTTACTTTTTGCAAACTTCGCATTTTTTTAGCATCAAATTAACAATATTGATACAGATTTCGGTTGGAAATCTTTTTTAAACGGTCTCTAGTTCCTGATTTAGGCTATTTAAGGTTCTTATATTTATCCAACCCTAAATATATTCGATTAGATTCACATCGGCTGGTTGAACTGGCCAAGTCAGTAAATCTACATTGTTCTCTTTCATCCATGCCTTGCAGCACAAGCTGTGCGGGTAAGCATCATATCTTGTTGAAATAGCTACCATTCGTTTCGATCAATCAGTATTTCTTATAATGAAAATTCAGTTCTAGCGTCATAAAGGTGTGTTGGTTGATTCGGCCCGTTTATATACATCTACTCCATTAAGATACTATCCCAATTTAGAAAAGGTACCCAACCAAAAAAATTAAAGCACTTTTGAATCCTTGGTACAACAAAGTAATTACTATACTTTTTTCTTGTTAGAAAAATCTTGTTAGAAAATTTCAATCTTCTAACAAGATTTTTCCTATTAATTACTTCCTATTTATCACTAAAAATTACTTGCTTCCGAAAGACTAGCCAGTTCTCTCCTTCCACCACCTAATCTTTTGAGTCGATATCTAGCCGTTTGCATGGGTTTTCTGATAGTTGCATAAGCATCAAAGGTTTTTCTTTGTAAATTGTTTTTGACGAAAAAAATAATTCACGGTTTTCGTCGAATGTGCTGAAGTTCAAGTTGAGCTTAATTGATCTTTAAAACAATTTTTTCTGTTGGTATTTACAGTAAATGGATGTGTCAAAGTTAAAAATTTTGAATTGGATTTTGTTATTGAAGATAAATAGAATTTTGTTATGGAAGATATGAATTTTTGTGAATTAAGCTTTAGGGTTTTCCAGAGAAATAAAAATATATTTTTAGAGAATCATTCAGATTCAAATGTTAATTTTTTTTAACACTGATGAAATAATTAGCAACATATGCCCTTCTTATTATAATTCCGATATTTCTAATCTTTCTGCTGATATAGATATTAATGAGTTCTCTATTTTACACCTAAATATTAGGAACTTTCAAAAAAATTTTGATAAATTTAAAGATTTTTTATATAGTGTTGAAATTAATTTTAAAATTATTTGTCTCACAGAGACCTGGTATCGAGATAAACAAGTTGAAAAAGATTCAAAAACTACAAAACTATAAAGTTATTCATCAAGTCAGAAATTCTGAGACAATAGGTGGAGGAGTATGTATTTTTATTCACAACTCTTTAAATTTTAGACCGCTAACCGAATTTAGTGTAATTAATAATGATTGCGAATCATTAACGATCGAAGTTATAAATAAAATCACTAAAACTATCTTTGTACATGTTGTGTAAAGATCGCCTCTAGTGATAACAAATTTTTTGAAAAAAACTTTAAAAATTTAATTAAA